TTAACAATATGTGACATTATAAAAAACAAAAGCATCATAAGGCAAATAAATAGAAAAAAATGAACAGTTGAACAGGCAATGGCTATCAACATATAAGTTGAACAAGGCATTCTTTCACTGACTTCACTTGCTACAGTCCTGAGCTAAGACAGTCTGTAACAGAGCAATAAAAATCTAAAGAGGCTGGCTATTCTTCATCTCAGGAAGGTCAGAGGAAAAAGGGAAAGGGTCTTACCACACAATAGGTAAGGTATTTAGTTCAAGTATATTCAATGAACTATATAAGAAATGACATAATAGAGAGATGCATGGACTTTTGCTTTGATAAACTAAACTGAGAAGACTCTCCAAAGAATATAAACCTTGTTTCAGATATTGCAAAGGTTAAAGTGCCGAAAGCCTGAACAAAATAACTTTTTAAGATTTCTTTAACCTCTGATTATGTTAACATCACCTTGACTTAATATTCCAGGTATAACAGGATGAAAAGAGAATCCAGAAAAGCAAAGGAAAGTCATTTTGTAACATTATGATTATGGAATACATCTCAGAATCTTCCCAAAAACTTATTATGATTTACTGATGTATTTCTTTACTAATGATCCTTTCTACCTCATTCTCTTCTTACTTTTTCTACAGTCTTCTGGTTTCTATGCTCATTATTTTATTCGGCATTGCTATCTCAAAGACATTTAAAAATGTACTGTTTCCAAATTTAGTTATATCTTCTTGGAACTTAATGTTTCTGGCCATGTTTAGCATTGACTATTATTCATTGAAGCAATATCATAGTTTCAATTTAGTTCTAGAGTGTAGTAGTCTTTTAGGGGAGCAGCTTCCAAATATCTTATTTCCAGGTATGTTCGTATCCCAGGTTATAAGCCTGCATTTGCAGCTATCTGCCAGATACCTCTGTGTACCACTGGTATTTCAGTCAATATGTCTAAAAGAACATCAGCTGTCTGTTTATTCATTGTGGATTTATATTAATGACATTAGTATTCTTGTGCCTGGAGCTTAAAACCTCTTTGAACTTAAAACCTCTTTGACTCTTTGGTTTTATTTTGTATTTAATAGCCAGTTATCTTTTCCCCCATACTCATAGTCTCTTATATATCTATCCCATCACTTCTTACCCTCACCACTGTACATCACAAGTACATCAGGTAAAATAGCATCAGATAAAATCAAAGTGTCCATAGGACAATGGCCAAAAGAAGCAAATCCTAAATCAGAAGCTTTAGAAGCTCCAAACACTGGATTAAAATGTGTCCATGCATATCAAAAACTTCACCAACATCCCTAAATCTCTTCCCTGATAGGAAACAATGTTGTAAATTCAGGAATAACTAGAGTTGATTCTCATCCTGTACACACTAAAATTACCTTTAAGAACTCTTAGTCCCTTCCTCATAGTTTTACCAGAGACAGATGCTATTATAATAGGTCATTTGCTGATGCTGATTTCCTACAAATTCTCACAAGGCCACATACTATGCATTCCTAAATCTGAAAAAAAAAAAAGCTAAATTCCTTAAAGCATAAAACTGTAATATGAGTGTAAAATTACTATCTCACAACAATAGAAAGGACATGTGGATCCCACTCAAAAAAGTCTCACATTTCATCATTAATAATCACTGTGTCATCCCCAATAAAACTGCTTGACATCCCTATTTTAGTAAGCTCTCTTACAAGTTCTCAAAATTTTTCTACTTTATTAGCTCTGTACTTCAAAAGACACTCTTCAGTAAAACTTAGTAACAAATTCACAAGTATACTTAAAGTGACATTATCACAAAACTATGAAAGAAAGCAGAGATTTCTACCAGAAAATCATTTTAGAAAGCTTAATGTTATGGTTTGGATGTGAGTTGTCTCCCAAAAGCTCACGTGTGAGACAATGCAAGAAGGTTCAGAGGAGTCATTTGGTATTTGTTTTTTAAAGATTGGCTAGCTTCACTTAGCATAATCTGCTCTAATGCCATTCATTTCCCTCCAAATTCTATGATTTTGTCATTTTTTAATGCAGAGTAATACTCCATTGTGTATAAATGCCACATTTTTTTTATCCATTCATCTATTGAGGGGAAATGACTAGGTTGTGAGATCTTAACCCAATTAGTAAACTAATTCCCTGATAGGGATTAACTGAGTGGTAACTGAAGTGGTAGGGTGTGGCTTGAAGAGGTGGGAATTGGGGGCATGCCTTTGGGGTATATATTTGTATCCAGCAAGTGGAGATCTCTCTCTGCTTTCTGATCATCATGTGAACTGCTTCCCTCTGCTACACTCTTCTGCCATGATATTCAGCCTCATCTTGAGCCCCGAGGAATGGAGTCTGCTATCCATGGATTGAGACCTCTGAAACATGAGACCCCAAATAAAATTTTCCTCCTCTACAATTGTGCTGGTCAGAACTTTTAGTTGCAGCAGTGAAAAAGCTGACTAAAACACTTAGTGAAAGTCCTCAACCTGGTCATAATAAAGACTATTACATTGGTGGAATGTAGCAATACATCTGAGTACAACTATTATTTAATATTCATTTGCCACTTCAACGGAAAACTTTCTAGTCAATTAATTATAAGGATTATAGTTCAGTTACAAGATAACACAAAATTTGAATATTATATGACTTTGAAATTTTAAATAGAAAGAACTGGCATTTGTTCTTTTGTTTTCAAAACGGGAAGGGGATTATATTCAGGTTTAGATGCTAGTTTCTCCAACCACACATAGATTTTATTTTAAATTCTATTAGGTTCCCAAAACAACTGGTCGTGTGCAGTTAATACAATGTCAAATAGTTTATGTTTTTCTATAATAATATCCTTTCTACAAACTGCTAGACCTCCCATTACCAAAATTTTGTATGCTAACAGAAAAATCACTACTGTCATTTTAAAGCTGATAGAAACATTCTCTGCCTAAGGAATGCAAAAGTAGTATAAACTTAAATTTCTTCTCCAATCACTAAATTCATTTTGCTAAAATCAGATATAAAATCTCTCTTGATAATCAAGGCTAAAATGTCATAATCGTAAAATATATGTTCTCCAAAATTTTCTAATTGTTCTACAACCTCCTCAAATAGAGAAAAGAATGTGAATAAATGTAAGAGCCATCAACCCTACCATGGAGTTTTAAAATAAACAAATTGATGAAAACTGCATTGCCATAATCTATTTAAATAATGAAGAGAAACAGACAATGCTGAAGTCCTACTCCCTCTAAGGTTGTCCAGCTCAGTCCAAGAACAGAAGAATGCCTAAAAGCTGGTCTATCTCCCTAAAACCTGAACTGCTGAAAACAAGTTGTTCACAGATTTTCTTTATTGTAAATTAGGTAATTTTTACATTGCATTGTGTTTTCTGGAATAGAGAGTGTAACAGGATAAATTAACATGATAAAATAAAAAATGTCAAAATGATGCCAATTAGTATAATGGCAGCAGGTTTTCTTAAGGTTCAAAAATAATTCATAAGTTGGGTTTTCAAAAATCCACATTCTTTTGAGTGAATGCCTAAATCATTCAATTTATTTCCTGAGGAACTTAAGATCAGCTTGTCAGCACAAAAAAGGTTCCCCCCACCCATGCTTTCCAAGATTTCCAGTATCTCATCTTTACCAGAAAGCCTACTTAATGGCAGCCAATTTGCAAACATCAAATTTAAGATTAAAGCTTCAGTAAAACAAGAAGAAAGAAATTAAAGTTCACTTCAAATATTTACGTTGGCATAGACTGAACAGACTACTTAAGAAAAGGCTGACACTGAGGCTCTGTTCTGCCATCACTCATGGCTGCATGCACCAGTTCTCACATCACTTTAATCAAGAGATGGGCATAAGAACTCTATCATTTATAGTATACAAATTCATTACTCCTTTGTGAAAGTTTGTCAACTTGGCTCATGTCATGTATTTGCAAACTAAGTATGTGTTGCACTAAAAGCCAAGGAAAAAGAAACTAGAATAACAGCTTTTTAAATATATATTTTCATGAAACAAGAAAACAACTGCTAAAGTTAATTTTAGTCACTAGATCTTTAAGCTTTCTTCAGAATGTTAGAGAACTTTACTTTCTCATACTGAATTATCCACATTTTAACATTATAATTTACTCCACAAATAAACTACAAACAAATGCACCGAAAATAGAAGACAATGTCTAAATAACTTTTAATAACAAAAGTAATACTTCCATTACATAGATAATCCAATAAATATCCATAAGAAAATGTGATCATTTTGTCCCTGACTCATGCAAAATAAGAAGCCCAATATGAAACCAAAAAAAATTATTCAACTGTATCCTCTTATTATGATTACAAATCAATTTTATTAAACCAATTTGACATAAAATAATTTTTCAAGAAAAATTAACAGTTTTTCCAATTTTTCATTTTTTTGATCACAGAATTTTCTTATTCTTAAAATTTATATTTGATAGCCTTACAAGAAAATGTAATAACAAAAACAGTAAATATAAAAGATTTGTTCAAAAAATTACTTCTTCCTCTTGATGGCACCAGTGTTTAGGGTTTCTGTGAAAATGCTTTAGGAAAAATCTGATAAAAATCTATTTGAAGAAAATAATTTTCATCTGTCCTAACCCAAATATATTTTCTATTCAAATATTTCCAATACATCCACACATTTAATGGAAAGAGACTGATGAAAATCTATCATATTTGATCATTTACTATGTGCCAGAACTTACCGAATACATTACACTTATATTAATTCTCATAGCAATTGTTAGCCTATTTTACACATAGGGAGTCAAGGTACTAAAAGGCTAAACAATTTACTCATAGATACACAGTCAGTGCCAGAGCTGAGATGCAAACCCAGATAGTGTGGTAGCATATCTGATTTCTAAATCACTATACTATATGATGTATAATGTACACTTGGTATCTGGCACAATTATGACACTTAGTAGATACTATATAAAAGTCCAAGTCTTATCATAATATTTATCTCTTCTTACTTACTTTGTGATAATTCTGGATTTCCTTTCAGATTCATCATTTTTGGAATTGAAGGACCATACACATCTACATCTAACAAACCAATGGCCTTTGACTGTAAGAAAAAAGAATTTACCATAAGATTATTCCCATTCTGATGGGGGGGAGGGGGGATAGTAGAGGATAGGAAAGGTAGCAGAATACAACAGTTACTAGTATGGCATTATGTAAAAATGTGTATGTGTAACCGATGTTATTCTGCAATCTGTATTTGGGGTAAAAATGGAAGTTCATAACTCACTTGAAACTAATGTTTGAAATATGATATGTCAAGAACTTTGTAATGTTTTGAACAACCAGTAAAAAAAAAAAAAAAAGATAAAGCACACAGTAATAAGTCAGTCTACGGAAAAGAAAATTTGTAAAATATTTCAAAATCATAACCTAAACATTCAAAGTAACATTAAGTGAAAGCATAAATTGCTAAGGATATACATTTTGATTTACTAATATCTTCTGGATAACTGTCTAGAAAAATCCAGTCCACATATTTATGTTTTGTAGTTTAGGTCTCCCATCTACTCCATAAACTTTACATTTTGTAGTAAGTCTCCCATACAGCTGCAAGATGATTAAGACTTTTTGATCTAAGCATGACTTTGAGAACTAAGAAGTAACATGCAAACAAAGCTAAAATAATGATTTACTATGGCAACAAAATCCCAAGAAGATGGAGCTTTAACTTTTGGAAAATCCATCTAACACATCAAAGAATACAAAATGAAAAAAGATCATGAAAACAAGACCTTCATAAAGTAAGTGAGAAATTTCTAATGCAGAGCTGGCATAAAAGAAATACAGTGCTAACAAGGATATTAGCCAACATAACAGAGATAACCTCTTACATATAAGAAACAGTCAAACATGACTGTTTATGAATCTGGAGGATTCATAAACAACTAAAAACTGTTTTGTTTGATAACCTATCCAGGTGCCAAAGGGAAGAATATCTTTACTTGTCTCTGCTAGCTGCTAGTTAATCAACAGCTTAATCAAGGAAGAGAAAACAAAATTCATTATTCCAAAATAAATATTTCTTGTTTCCCTTTCCCCCAAATCAATCTATTATCAGTCTTTCTCATCCACAAGAAACCATAATGCTAATACTAACTATATATTTCACCAAGTCTCACAATTCTCCTCCCACTCTCTACATATCCTGCCAAGATAAAACTCGGAACCTCTTAGCAAAAAAATTTTTTTTAATTTTATTGTGCATATCAATTATACAGAATAGGGGATTTAATTGTGGCATATTGATACAAACATATAACATAATTTGATAATCAATTTCATGCCCCAGTACCTCCCCTGGCTCACTTTTCCTCTCCCTAGCCCACTCCTTCCCTTCCTCTACCCTAATGGTCTCCCTCCTATTTTCATGATATCTCTCACCCTCTTTTTTTCTTTTTTTCTCTCTAGTTTCCACATATGAGAGAAACATATGGCACTTTTCTGAGTCTGGTTTATTTCACTTAATGTAATGTTCCCCAGTTCCATCCATTTTCCTGCAAATGACATAATTTTGTTCTTTTTTGGCTAAATAAAACTCCATTGTATATATATACCACATTTTTTATTCATTCATCTGGTGACAGACACTTAGGCTATCTATAACTTAGCTATTTTGAATTGTGCTACAATAAATGTATCATGCATTTAGAGATACACAGGTTATCTCTAAAGTATGCTGTCTTTAGTTCTTATGGATAGATACTGAGGAGTGGTATACAGCTAGATCACATGTGAGTTTCATTTTTAGTTGTCTGAAGAACCTCCATTCTGATGTCCATAATAGCTATACCAATTTACATTCCCACCAACAGTGTACAGGGATTCCCTTTTCCTGCATCCTTTGCCATCTTTATTGCTATTTGTGTTCTTGATGACTGTTACTCTGACTGGAATGAGAAGAAATCTCAATGTAGTTTTTGATTAGCATTTTCCTGATGGTTGGAGATGTTGAATTTTTTTTTTAAGATAATTGGGCATGTAGGGTTTGTCAGGATGAACCCAACTACTATGTGTAACCATTAAGCTCTAATTTTAAAAAAATAATAAGTTTTGGTCATTTGTACTTCTTCTTTTAAGAAGTATGTTTTGTTCATTTCTCAGCAAATTTAAAAAAAAAACTGAAACAATCCCTTGTCTTTCATGTTATCTACCTATTTAAAGGCACAAAATTATTTTTTAAACTTTATTGTCTGTTCCTATAAATACATAAGGTAAATTCAACATTTACCTTCCTAACTTTACCCTGATACAACTTGCAACTCTAAAAAAAAAAAAAAAATGTAGTTTCTCTGTGTGTCCTCATAGGAGAAAAATGGTACTGATACTTGTCTATATCAAAATCTTGGTTCACTATAAAATAATGAGAAAATAGGAAATATACTAAATACGGATGGTAGTTTATAAAATTTAGGTCTAATGCCTTTAGATACTCAATTTTAAAAAGTTGGAACATTCTATGAGAAATTCTGACATATTTACTAAACAAGATAATTTAATTGGATTAAAATAGAATTAAATTTACTATGAATTATAAGATTTCAAATGAGGAACCTAAAACTTTTTAAAATATGGCAAATTGTTAACACTATTACCTAAAGGTCTACTGATACTGTGTCAACCTAGAATTTTGTATCTTTTCTGTGATATCTACAACTAAAAACTACCACAAAATAATAATAAATAGTAATAGAAACAAAAGTATTTTAAGATAATTTTTCTTTCTTCTCTTATTTATATCAATGTTGATTTTACAGTTACTCGAAGGGATTAAGTCCAAAGTTTTAAATTGCTCTTCTAACAAGAGCTATCAAGTAAAATAACTTAGCTTTTTTTTTCTTTTTTTTTTTTTTTTTTATAGATGGACACAATACCTTTATTTTATTTATTTACCTTTATGTGGTGCTGAGGATCGAACCCAGTGCCTTACACATAGCAGGCAGGCACTCTGCCACTGAGCCACAACCCCAACCCTAACTTAGCATTTTAAGTTCATTTTTTCATAAAATAATAACCAAGAGTTCTAACTAATATGACTGTCAGTTTCATCATCACTAGATCTTCAAGTTGCCATTAAAATCTTAGGGATAATCTATCATCTCTCCTGCCTTCTAGAAGAAAAAAAAGACATGCGTAAAGGTGAATCCTTGGTTCCATGGTCTAAGAAAAAAACTAAAGATCTGCCCTAATATTTGCTATGAAAGTAATGAATTTTATATATATTACCTGGATGGCTGCCAATATACATTATTATACAAAAATTAAGGAGGAGAGGGAGGCCCCAAGATTTTAGGATTCCTCTGCTTCCTAGAAAATGGAGCTAATAATAATAGAGAATATTCTGTTTGAGGCTCTCTGCAAATTCTCTCTAGGAATAATTTCCCAAATTTAGTTCCAATGCTTATATATATCAAAAAGAAAACAGAGGAGAAGAAAATATGAAGACGGGGAGAAGGAGAGGAGAGGAAAGAAAGGAGGAAGAGAGTATGAAGAGAAATTGATCAGCAATGTTATATTGAGACCCCGGATAAACTGGGTCCACAGCTAGTTCAGACAAATCAGAAACTAAAAACATCAAGATTTTCCCTGATTATATCTCCCCATTGCCTAAATTCTTTCTGGTTGCCAAACACTAATCTAAGCATTCTATTTACATTTCCTATTTACTCCTTACAGCAATACTGCAAGGTGGTATCATACCTACTTATGGATGAGCAAGCTAGAAATTAACATTAACACTCATAATAACTATGCTTTGTTTTATGTGTTCTTTCTTAGGATGAGGCAGAATAGGGAATTATTAAACATGAAAATATTAAACTTTTTAACCTCCACCAGAACTTTAATGCAATCTGACTATAAAAGACCCAAATATAGAGCAAAATGTTTCTTAAAGGATCAACTAATAAATATTTCAAGCCCTGAAGATCATATGATACCTACAACAACTACTCAATGCCACCACTGTAGCATCAAAGCAGCTGTAAACAATACATAAATGAATCAGCATGGCTGTGTTCCAAAAAACTTTACAAAAACAGGCAAGTTACTCAATTACCCAAACAGCCATCTCTTTTAGTGTGAAAAGAGCTATCTCAGTAAAAATTTACTTCCTCATCCTTAACTGGATAATTTTTAAAAATAAGCAATGGTATACTTTTCAGACTGTTTCCCAGGAACTAAGTATGTCTTATTCAGATTTTATACATCATGAATAAAATTATCACTCAACACCTATGGTATTAAGTAATATTGTACTTATAATTGGCATAGCTGTATGTGATGGTGATCTGGCTGCAATATCTGTCACCCCATTGATTGCCAGAGTTGATTCAGCTGGTCTGGCTGGCTAGGCAAGTGTCTCCTTCCTCCCTTGCCACTCCATGTGTGTCCATCCTGAAGGTCTAAAAGGTTGAAGACCTTCCCTGATTAGGAAGGACCATTCTTTAGTTCACGTAGCTGCACTCTCCCGCTAGAACCTCCACACAAGCTCTCAAGAATTGGCACAGCAACTGGACCAATACAATCACATTGCTATAAAAATAAGCTTAAACAGATTTTCAAGTCTAGAATCAAATCATGTTCAGAAGCTGCCAAATGCACTTCATTTGTTCATCATAATTTACTCCCTTATTTTTAAATAAGTGCCTATTTTAAGTGTATAAATAGTCTTCCAATTTAAACTTCCAAACAGTTTTACACTATAGGAAAATAAATGTACACGGTAGAAGACTATAAATAAATATATGCAGCTGGATATTTAACTAGCTTAGTTTTATGAATTCTTTCCACCTCACTTTTCCCATACTAATTATATTTAGTCAAGAAAGTTTCAATTAGAAATTTTTATCTTTAATTTCATCCAGACTCAGAAGAATAATCACCACAAAAGCCTTACAAATACACAATAAAAGAAAATTTTTATTAGCAAAAATAACTATAAAATTACTATTAAAAAATGTGACTGTCATCTTTAATGACAGCAATGTTATATCATAAACTTAGCCTAATATGTTGGTGTCTAACAATATGCTCTTTTTCTGACTCCCAAGCGGTAATCAAAACCCAACAGGTTACATAAAACAAGACAGATCAAACTCCAAGACACCATTTAGAGTTTTAGATTTGTTGCTTTATAATTTATAACACCCTGTGAAAGCTGTAAAAGGTGGCAGAATTATTCAGAATGATTATACTGTTTCATTACTACTGCATGAAAGCTGCAATTTGAGAGCCTACAAGTCTTCTTTTTTTGTGTCGGATTTCAAAGGAACCAACAACAGTTTTGATACTGCTTTGTTCTTCCAACAGAATTTATCCTAAAGAAGATTGTAAAGCTTCATGACATGTTCCTTTTATCCCTGTCGTCTGCTAATAGAACCCATCAAAACAACATCTTAGAGCACTCCCACCCAATTATTTCTAAATAAATATTCTTTGAGACCTACCTAAAGGTTGTCCTTTCCATAGAAATACCCAGCTAAGATTCCCATGAGTCCTCAAATGTTATATTCTATTTAATCTTGGACTGGCAATTGGTATTTATTCAATTTAGAGTTGATTCAAGACTTTCTCTTTATGCCTTTCTTCACGTCAAGCTGTCATTCATAAGAATTTCACTCTCTTAGTAGAGGAAAAACATGTTTCCTAATTCTATTAGCTAGGATTAAATAAGGATCTGATTGTCAGAAGAACTAATGGTTGAACAAATTGATAAGAGAACAATCTCCTACTGTTTATCAAAGGACTGTCTAAATCTTCAAGTTCACTCAGGAAAGAAAGAAGAACGAGGGCAGCATAAAGGGAAAAGTTCACCAGCCTGGTTAGAACACAACTACAGATAAGCCCATGAAAAGTACTCAAAAAGAATAAATGGAAGGAAAATAATAGATGTTAAGTTAAAATTTTATTTTAGAAGAGAAAGAAGTCGAAGAGGTCACCTTAATTTTCTGTTCACTTTTTAGTGATAAAGAAACTGAGGCCCAGAGATACAGCCACAGCTGAGCCCAGGACCCAATTCTTTCTCCAACTTACCATAAACCCTGAACACTAACAATCATCAGCCACTTGTCTTTATCTCTTATATCATCTCCTGTCCTCCACCATTCATTCCAATCCAGACACAGTGCTTTTCTACAGTTTCTTAAACATGCTAGGCACATTTCTACCTTAGGATCGTGCAGTTGCTATTGCTTTCGCCTGGAATCTAAAACCCACCTACCCAACCCTCCCACCTTTCATTTCATTGCCATATCCACAGGTGTTTCACTCACTTCCTTCAAGAACTAAACATCATCATGTAATAAGGCTTCACTGACCACTCTAAAATTGCAATCCCCTCCCCCCTATATTAAGACATCTCCTATTCTCCTCGCCAGTTTTTCTTTCTTCTTAGTATCTGTATTAGTATTCAACATACTATACATTTACTTATTTGTTTGTTTAGTGTTTCTCCCACTAAAATGTAAATTCTAGGAAGGTAAGGAGTTTTGTATGTTTTGTTCATATACACAGAACTAGAAAAGTAAGCACTTATGAATCCGTATTCCATCCTAAAAATTCTGATTCATTAGGTTTGAGCTGGGGTCCAACAAACTGTATGTGCAAAACTCTAGGATATAAGGTGACCAGAATGTGAAAAACAGAAATGCAGATAGTAGAAGAAAGATATGACAATGTGCTCTACGAGCCTAAGTCTTGGGACCAGCAGAATCACAGCAATAATAATATATAGTTATCAAAAATAACTTTGATGAGATTCTATTTTAAATGTTTTTTTAAAAAAAAGCAGTGAGCATTCTGCCATATGATTGAAAGAATAGTCAAGAAACCTATGTATACAAAATATTACTCATTGTTTATCTACAATTCAAATTTAAAAGGCATCCTATATTTTCATTTGCTAAATCTAGAAATGCTACCCCAGCATCTCTTCTGAACAGAGCAGCCAGAATGATTCAGTTAAAACATAAGTCATATTATGTTGTTCTACTTAACACCCTTCATTGCCACCACTCCCTCATCTCATTCATGTGAAAGCCAAAGTCCTCACAACACTTACCCACTAGACCCCAGATCATCTAGCCAGTTTCCCACCAACTTCCTGCCTCCTCATTGTATTAATTTTCATCATCTATTACTCCATTCTACTTCTTCCTTCAGAAGTCACATTGCCCTTCTTCCTACTAAATAGTAAGCTAGGCATCTTCATACTTATTGGACTTTGTACTGGCTATGCCCTCTCCCCAACACACTCTTCCCCTAGATAGTCACACTGCATATTCTCATCTCCTTCAAGTCTCTGCTCAAATGTCATCTTTTCAATAGTTCACCCTATTTTAAATTACAAACCCACACTCATTCTCAAGTACTCCCTCTTCCCCTAATCCCAGGCTATCACCTTTGACATACTATTTAACTTAATTATGACAGAAATTATCTATTTGCTATAAGCTTCATAAGGACAGGGATAGTCCCAAGCACCTAGAATAGTAAGAAGTAAATAAATATTTGCTGAATGAGTGAATGAATGAACAAACTACCATTTGTTCCTCTGAAGAATATCAGGATTGGCTACTATATAATCCCTAAGGCCCCTCTTAAGCTTTAACATTCTATGCTTTCAGGAAATCGACTCTCCTAATTACTTCTATACTAATATGCAAAGTTATAGGACTCAGATAATATATATAAGCTTAAACATATTCTGGTATTAAAGAAGAAGGTCATATATTTTGCAGAAAATCTTACACAATAAATCTCCATTTTTCTTTTGATTTCAACTCCAGAAAAATGGAACTTCATGGAAGAAAATCTAGTGCAAACAATGGTTATGGTAGGCTAGTACATGAAATATGATAAAATAGATACATTGTTTAAAACTTTTAAAACTAAAGCTATATCATGGCATGAAAACTGTTAATCAAACCTGGAGATGTAGTTCAGTGGTAGAGAGCTTAATCCAGTGTGCAAGGCTCTGCTGAGCTCAATCCACAGTATCACAAAGGGTTTCATATATGAAAGGGATACACAGAAGTTTTATTGTTTATTTTGTGTGTGTGTGTGTGTGTGTGTGTGTGTGTGTGTGTGTTTTCCTTTCAAGGGCAGGATCAGCAACAATCATCTACAATAAGAAGAAATCTAATTTTGTACTTGGAATGGAACCACCACTTGACCCACTTATCCTACTCCTCAGGAATATACCCAAAGGATTTAAAATCAGCATACTACAGTGATGCAGTCACATCAACATTTACAGCAGCTCAATTCACAGTAGTTAAGCTATGGAACCAAC